TTAATTAACTTAAGGATTATAAGCTTTATAAGAATAAATTATTTAAAAAAACAAAGAAAACTTTCTTCTATAATAAAAACTAGATTAATAATAAGAAACTATAATTTTATTATAAAACACAAAATAGGAAATAGTTTCTCCTAAAGAATAAATTTCATATATATAGCATATAAATGATTTACAGAAGATTATTTAACATCAAAATTAAGTTATTAAAGTAAAAAAATAAAAAAATAAAAAAAATAAAAAAAAAAATAGTAATAAAATGATGATTTTTAATAAATTTAAATATAATATAATTAAAATATTCCTTTTTTAAATAGCCATTAATAAAATAATATTTAATAATTATAAATAAACACTAGCTTATAACAAACAGAAAATGAAAATTTGAAAAAAATTATAGAATAGAAAAATTAAGCTATTGAATATTGGAAATAAAAAGCAATTTATTTGGAATAATAAGCTTTATCTATAAAACCTTAAACACTAAATATATAGTAATATAATATATAAATATTTTTGGAAAAGAAAAAAAATTATATATTTTAAAAGAGATATTAATACTTTGTCAAATAAAAGTTCCTAATAAAATTAAATTACAAGTATATAAGATTTATAAAAAGATAAAATAAACAATTTTTTTTCGAGAGATAATTGCTCGTTTAAAGATGCTGATTCTTCAGAAAGAAATAATTTAAAACAGCCATAAAATAAAATTGTGGAATAGAAATTAATATGAAAAAATATAAAAAATATAAAATATAAATATATATATATATAAATATATATATATATAAATATTTATATTATATTATTGAATATTTATATTATTGAAAAAAAAATTATTATTACTAATAAACATATATGTTTTGATTATTTTCCAGTTATTATTTTTAATCTTTAATTATTATTTTCTTTAAACTTTATTTACTAATAATATTTATATACCTTTTCTTAATTTTTTTTTTAATTTATTTATTATAAAATTTAATTATTAATTTTTTTTTATAATTATTATTATTAATATTTAATTTATTTTTATTATATATATTTATAAATAAAAATTGTTATAATATTAAAATAAAATATTTAATATTATTTTTAAAATAATTATAACAAAATATATACAATATCTTTAAATTTGTATTTTATTTTTACAAATAAATAGCAACATATAATGCCTAAATTTTTAAATAAAATAAATATAATTTAAATATTAACATGAAATTATAATAAAATCTAAAAAATAAAAAAAATTATACATAATAAAATAATATTAATATTCCTAAAGTTAAAATTTGTTTGAAACATTTAATAATTTTTTATATATAGAAATTATTAAAATATTAATAAAATTTCTTTTTAACTTTAATTGATAACATACAACAAACAAATCAAATTATTTTTAGATTTAACTATAAATTAATTTTTAAGAAAATTTATTTATTTTATTGTTCAATATTTCAAAAAAATTTTATAGAAACATTTAGCAATTACCACAAATAAAAATAAAATTTTTTTTATATAAAGCATTATATAAATAACATTTAATGTATATAAATAAGAAAAAATTAAAATAATAAAAGAAAAGAAATTTCTTATTCTTTTTTTAAAAAATTATTTTTCTAATTTTGTTGAAAGGAACAATATTTTCCTTAATAGTCAAATAATCAAGTTTTATTTAATGAATTTTTAAAGAATTAAAAATTTAAGGGCAACGTATTTTAAGAAAAATATACGGTAATGTCAATATTGGAAAAATTGAATATAGAGAAAAATTTTGGAAAAAAAAAATATATAGGAATAAATATAAAGGATATTTAAAATAGGGGTATAATAAGTAAAAAAGATTAATATTTATACGAAAATTAATTTAATATAAAGGAAAAATTAAAAGTAAATGAAATTTAAAATATATAAAATTTGTAAATGAAAAAATTTAAAATTAAAAAGGTTAAATAATAAATTATATTGAAAATTAATTATTTTATAGAATGATAAAAAATAATAATGCAATATTATTAGATATTTATTAATTTATAATAAATAAATTTATTTTTTAAAATTAATTTAATAATAATTATTTTTTAAAAAAAAACTTATAAAAATTAATACAAGTATATAAAAAATAAATAGATAAAAATATTATATTAATTAAGATAAGCATTTTAAATATAATTTAAATAATATAATAATTAAATATATTTCTTAAACAATAATAATAAATATTTAATAAAAGAATATAAAATTTATTATTAATACTATTTGTAATTATTTTAAAATTTATAAAAAAAAATTAAAGCAAAATAATTATTTAATAATAGAGAAATTTAATTGATATTATAAATAATAATTTCAAAAAAAAAATCATTTGTAATTAAATATATAAGAAATTTACTAACATTTAGAAAGAGAATTTTTTAATTAAAAATTAAATTATTATGAAATATATTTATTTAAAATTATAATAATAAAAAAAATATATAATAATATATATATATTTATATATATTTATATATATATTTATTAATTTAACTTTTTTATTTTATCTTATTTTAATAGATATTTATTTTTATTTTTCATATCTCTCATTAAATTATTTATTACATTATTCATATTTATAAATAAGTTTATTTAATTTTTCTTTTTCTTTTTCATATATTTTTTATTTTTATTTTATTTTAATTTTTTTTAATTTAATACATAATAATATACATAATTTTAGCATCTTCCAACATTTTATTTTGAACTATTATTTCATTTTTAATTCTATTATTATCATATTTATAAAAGTACATTTAATCACACATATATTTTAAATTTTATTCTTATTTTATTTTTTATCTATTTAATATAATTATTTATTATTCTTTTTAATTTTCATTTGAAGTATTTTTTTAAAAGTATTGGGAATAGTTATATTAACTATTTTAATCTTCTTATATATTCGTATTGTACAATAAACTTTCTTTATCAAATGATTATGTATCTTTTTCATTTAATTCTTTGTTTTCTAATTAATTAGACTCTTATGTTAAATTTTTTGAGCGTGTATTTATATCTGATTATTTTAAAGTATTAGAATATAGGAGAGATTAAAATTATTATAAATCAGTTAAATTGGTATTTTAATATTATTATATATTTTAAAAATTCAAATTTAAATTATTAGTTTATTCTTATTTATATTTTGAATTTTAGTATAATTATTTATTTGTATAATACTGAAATTTATTATATTCTAAGTATTATTAATTGAAATTGCTATTTAAATAACTTTCGCTTAAAAATTAACTTTGTTAAAGGGATTTATTTTCTAGTATTTATTAATATTGGTTTTAATTAATTAATGATTAGAAATTTTATAAAGGTTAAAAATATTATCTGTTTCAGATTTATCTTATTATTAAAAAAATAACATTTTATTAATATTATTATAAATAAAAATTATTATTTTAATATTATTATTTAATGGTATTTTAATTAATTTATATAAATATTATATTAATTTTTAATATTAAAATCTATAAAATTTATTAAAATTATGATTATATATATAAACTTTATTTCAAAAAAAATTAAGTTTAAACAATGTTTAAAATATTTATATATATATAAATATATATATATATATATATATATATATATATATATATATCTAAATATATCATAATTTTAGATATAAAAATTATTTTTATTAGAATTAGTACAACTATTATTTAATAACAAAGTTAAAATTCGATTTAAGAAAATAAAATCATTATAAAATATTTAAATATAAAAAATAACAGATATAAGATTAAAAATAAAGTAAATAAAAACCAAAAAATACAAATTTTTGAAATTTTAAAGTTTTTTAAACATATTTATAATATGGATATTTCAATTTTATTATTTTTTAAAAATAAATAATAAAATATTAAGAAAATAATTTTAAATAATTTAAATAATTTATGAAAGAATAAGTAATTCCATATTTCATAAATATAATAAATCAAAAATATAATCCATTTTTTTATTATTAATAATAATAAAGAGATATTTTAAAAAGTTAATATGTTTCTTTCTAAAATTAACATAAATATATATTAACAAAAAAATTATTTTTTTTTAAAATAAAAATTTATTTAGCTTTTATAAAATATATACTTTTAATTATATGATATTTTTTTTAGATAATTAATAAATAAAGTTTTTTATTTTTTACTTTTAGAATGGACTAAAAAATAAATCGTTTTTAAGATTATTTAAAAAAAAATATAATTCATATTAAATGTAAAATATTTTACTAAAAATATAAATAAACATTAGAAATCTTGATAAATTTAATATAACAAAAAATAAATATAGAAGGCTATAAATCAAATTGTATATTTAAAAATTAAAAAACTAAAGACCAAAAAGTAGATTTTTTATTAAATAGTATCTCAAAAAACATCTAAAAAAAATAAAATGATTTCATAAACATGATTATATAAATAATATTTCTTTTAAATAAAAAATAATATTAAAAAAAATATTTATTTAAAAATAAAAAATCATAAATGTATAAAAAAGTAATCGTTGAATTTAATTCGAAATTTAAAATAAAGTAAATAATAGAAAACAAAGAAAATACTAAAAATAATAATAAATAAACATTTGATAACTTATTATAACATTTTTTATAAAAATAAAAATATCATATTTATTAGAAAAAGTAAAAAAAAAAAATTAATTATAAAAATTAATTTAAAGAAATTAAAAATTAATGAAAATAATAAATAAAAACATAAAAATATAATATATAAAAATTATTGAAAAATAAATATAAAAATATAAATAAAAAAATATTATCAATATAAATAAAATAATTATAATTATAAAATATATATAAATAGATAATAAAATATATATATTTATTTATATATATATATATAAAAATATATATATATATATATATATATATATTTTTATATTATAATTATTTAAATAAAATATTTAACAAAATTTAATATTCAGAATTCTAAATCCATTTTATTTTTACTATTTATTTTTTAACTATTATTATCTTTTTTATTAATAATACTACTATCTTCGAATCTCCCTGGTTCATTTATTCTTAAAGCTTATTCAAAATACACATTTGGATGTGTTCCAATTTTATCAACAATTTTCTAATCTAAATTTGATTTTTTATCTAAGGGAGTATTTTTTATTTTAAATAATTCTCTACAAGCAAGCTTTTATTTATTTATAAATAATATTATATTAAAAAAAAAATATTACTTAAAAGTTTTTAGTTTTTTAAATTTTTCAATATCATAATATTAATTATCATTAATTTTATAATAAATTTTCAACCAATTTTTAAGTTTATTAGTTTCCATAACTTTAAAAGGACATCCATGGTATTCATCACTTAAAGGATTATAACTCAGTATTTTTTAACAACTCATAGGTGTATAATCAGTATGTTTTCCTTATTTTCCATAATTATGCTTAATATTATACTCATAATTTTTTTTAAATTAATCCTCAGTAAATTTAGAAAATTTCTATCTCCAAAAATGCAAAGCCTCATTTAAACTTAAGCCAGCACCTTTTAAAAAAAGACCCAATTAAAGTCTTCCAAAATGTTTTAAATGATGATTATCATTTAAGCCTTAAATTAAATAAGTCATACAAGGAGGCATGTCTCCTCTTTTTTATAAACGATCAATTTCATTCATTCTTAATTAAGCGGATGAATATTATTATGAATCTTCAATTATTTCCATTTTATGTAAATCTTAAAGAAACATTAAACGTTCGTCATCGATTTTATTTCCATTATTTATAAATTTTTATTAAAGTACTATTATACATATAAGAATATATATATATATATATAAAAATATATATATATATATATATATATATAATTATATATTATAATTATATTTATTTTACTTTTCATTTCTTCATATAAACGACTTTCATATATATCTTATATTAAATATTTTTTATCTCGAGATTTCATTATTATATATCCTTTATGTAATACTATTTTATTTATTCTTAAAAGCATACTTGGATGATCTTGATATCTAAACTAAAAATAATATTTTATAATACAAAAAAAAAGGTATATTTATATATTAAATATATATATATATATATATATATATATATATATATATATATATATATATATATATATATATACCATAATTAAATTTTCTTTTATAATTTATTAAGTTTCTTTATTATAATCTTTTAATTCATCATTTTTAATGTCAGATGGCGTTAAATTATTAGAATTAAATACTTTTTCTATTTTTTCTTATGCTTGTTCATACATATAATTTGGTAAAGTTTATATTTTCAAGTCTTTATCTGAAAAATACTCTTTTATTTTATACTAGCAAACTTTTAATTTGTCTTACAATATTAAACTCTCAAATCTTGTAAAATTTCTCCATTCTTCCTAATCTTTATAAAATGCATATGCCATCTTGCATAAAAAATGACTAACCACTTCCTTTATATATTATTATTCTTAAGATAAATTATCTTCTAACACTATACTTTGAGCTTCATTAGTATTATTGAATTTCTAAAGCTTAAAATTATTTTTTTTTCTTATATTCTCGTAATTTTCTGAACCTTCTAATTGAGAACGTAAATATCTATTTTTGTTTTGATTTTATAATAAAATTATTGCTATTACTCTTAATCTAAATCTCTATATAGTTTCATTCTTTATGTACTATATTATACTAATTCATTTATTGTTAATGTATTTTATATACCATATTTTTCTAATATAAAATAATTTTTTTCATCATAAAATTATATTTAATTATTCATTTTTTTTATATAATTTATTTTTTAAAAAAAAATTGATAATTAAATTAAATTTTTTTTTTTTAATTATAAAGATTTTGATTTTCTTTATATATTTGCCGCGAATTTATATTTATTTATATAAGGCGGATTTATATAATAAATAAGAATTTAATTATATAAAAATATATGTAATATTATTCGTTTATTTACTTTATATATAATAGTTAATAAATAACAAATTATATTTTAATTTGTTTTTAAATATTATATTTTATTTATATTAATCAATTAGTTTATAAAAAAAAATTATGTAGAAGATATTTATAATCGATTATATATTTTGTTTATATAATATTTTTCGAATTTACTGTATTGTTTTTTTTTTGATTAATTCGAATTTCTTATTATTTTATTAAAATAATCAAAAAATTATAAATAAAAACTTTAATTTTTTAATTAATTAATATATTAATTTTGAAATAATAAAAAATATATATTATTTATTATTTAAGTCATTAATAAATATTGTATAAATTATAAACTTTAAGTAAAATTAATATTATTTTTTATATATTTTAATAATATTAATAAATTTAGAAAAGTTTAATTTATAATTTATATAATTAAATTATTTAATAATTTTTTATTTTTTTTATTCTTTCTTTTTAAATAATTTATTTATTTTTATAAAAATTTTTGTTTTCATTAATTTTTTTTTATTTTTTTTAATAATATTACATATTTTTTTATAAATAAATATACTTAGAAGATTTTTTTTTTTTTAAAAAAAAAGTTATGCGTAAATTTAATTTTAGCTTAAATATTAATAAATTTTAATTTTTTTATTTGTGCGCGTATTTTTTATAATTTTAAATTATATCTTAGAAAATGTAAAATAATTTTTTTAATTTAAAAAATAAAATACAATACACAGATAAATACATTAAAAAAAAACAAATAAATTAAAAAAAAAAAGAAATTTTTTAAAATAAAATAAAATGGAAATTCAATAATAATAATAAAGCCCTCAAAAACCAATTAATAATAACATCGAAAAAAAGGAACTAAAAGATTTAAAATGCCAAAACTAAAATCACGAATAATCTCGTCTAAAATTTTTATGTGTAGATTAAAATTGTCAAAAAGAATAAAAACTTTGTTGTGCTGAATGTATATTAGAAGACCATATAGATCATAAATATTAAATAGTATAAAATTTTTCTGAGAAAATAATGAAGAGATTCGAAAATATTGAAAAACAGAACGAAATATTTTAATAAGAAAGTGAAGATTACTTAAAAGAATTAACATAATAACTAAACCAAGAATTTGCTTAGTTAAAATAAAGTATAATATAAAAGATGGACTAATAATAATAAATATTCAATGATTAAATCAGAAGATATGTATTAAATAATAATAAAATAGTTTTGGATGAAAAATTAAGAAATATTTAACAATTTTAATTTACGAATATAAGTAATGAAAACATTAATCAATTAATAGAATTTTATAATGAAGATAAAATTGAAAAAAATGTTTTGGAAAACTCTAAATAAATGTTCATGAAATAAAAAACTAATATAATGAAAAGAAAACTTAAATATTTCTAAAAAATGAAAACTGTCACCCAAAAGCTTTTCTTAGAAGTTTAATCTTTATCTTCACCTAAATTAAGTGATGAAAAAAAGAAAAAAAAAATATCTTTTAATGATGAATAAAATAGCGTCATCGAATTATCAAAATATAAAAATAAATATGATAATTAACTTGATTAATTTAAAAGTTTCCCAAGTTTAAATTAAAGATATAGTAGTAATTTTATTGTAAAAAAAATCAAATTTGATAATAATAATAATAGTTCTACTGGAATATAATAACCAATTAGTACAAGATGAAAAAGATTAAAAATATTTTTTAAATATTTTATAATAACAAATGATATTTTTTATATCTACATATTTCATATATGTTTAATATTTTACTTTTATTTTTTTATATTTAATTAATTTAGATTATATAAAAAAAACCATTTAATTATATAAAGTAAATTAAAATTAATTAATACATTAGTTTTAAGAAAAAAAAAAAAAAAAACAAGAAATTTAAAATTTAAAAAAAAAAAATTCTTAGTATACAAATAAACGTATATTTTAAAATAAATATATTTATAAAAATAAATATATTTATATATAATATGTTAATTTATATTTATATTGAACATGTATTTTATTTTTTTATTAATTTCTTAATAAAACTATAATTAACAAAAAGTAAAAATTAATTTTTTTTTTAGATGAATTTATATAAAAAAAAAATATAAACTAAAAAATAAAATATTAATATAGAAGAAGAATTTTTAAAAATATATATTATATAAATATATACAAATTTTTAATAATTATCTTACGGAAATATAGTAAAATTTTTATATATACATATATATTTATTTATTAATATATTATATTTAAATTATATATAATATTTATATATCTAGATGTATATAGATATATAAATATAATTATTATTTTTATTTTTTTTAATTTTATTATTTATTTTGTTTTTTTGTTATTTGTTCATTAATTTTATTAGCATAATTCGCAAATGTATTTAGAATTATCTTTTATATAGCTTATTACACATTTTTAGTGGAATATTTTTTTACAGTTATCACAGTTAATATATTTTTTATCAGGATTTTAAGGTTTAAAACAAATACATATAGGTTTCCATTTACTAAATTTAGGAATAAAGTTATTTTCAACCACATCGTAATTGGCTCTTTTTATAAATAATATGTAATTAAATATATGTTTAAAAAAATTTAATACAATATATATAATTGATAATGTTATAATTATACCTTGTAAAATATGTTTTTTTTTAACATCTATTAATTTATTACACTAGAATGTTTATAATTTACAAAGTCCATTTATACAATCTAAATAGACTACATCTTTATGATTAGTTTCGAAAATTTCATGTTCTCCAATACATTATAGTACATTTTAATCTGCATTTTTTTCAATATCATTTTTTTTATAATACCTATATATTATATATTATATATTTTAATAATTAAAATAATATTATTATAAAATAATATATAAAAATATATATTTATTTAAAAAAAATTATAATATTTTAATTTTAAATATTTTACCAAATAACTTTTATTAATGTTATATATTTTTCTAGAACTTCGATTCTCATAATTTAATCTATTTTTCCTATAAAATCATTAGTTATATCATCAGCATTTTGAATAAAAACAATATCATTTAAAGTATAAATTTTGTTTCTATATTTTAATTTTTAAAACTCTTTATAACTTTATTATATCTACTAATATTTTTAAGCTACTTTATTTAAGTTTTATGCTTTTAATAATTTATAGGTTTATAAATCGAGTCCATTAATTAATTATGAATTTTAATTTTAGCATTCTATTTAATTATTATTATTATTATTATTATCATAGGTTTCAGATTCTAAATTTGTTTATGTTTATGTTTATGTTTCAGTTTCGTTAAGTTTTTTTTTTTTTAAGTAAATATATTATAGTCTTTATCGGTATTTGAAATAATTTCAGATATTTTTTTTTTCATTTAATTTTTTACGCTTATTTTTATAAGTAAAATTGAATAATATTTATATAATTTTTTTTTATAAAAATTATATATATAAATATATCTATATATAGATATATATATATATATATATAGATATTTATTTTATTTATAATAAATAAAAAAAAAAAAAAATTTTGGCAAAAACTTTATTAATTTTCTATATTATTTCTTATCATACAAATTCTATTTTTTTATTATAATTTTATAATATAAACTATTGTTAATATTTTTTTTTAAATTATACTTTCGAATTATATTCTAGTTCTTATTTTTTTTAACTTTTGTTATATTATTTTTACTTTAAATACAAATTGTTTTTTTTAAAAAAAAAAATATTTAGATGAAAAATTATTCATAATTAATATAAAGAATTTATATAAAAAGATAAAAATATATATATATATTTCGATTATTATATTTTACCTTTTTTTTATTATAATAATATTTAATTTTTTTAATTTTAAGCTCGCGCTAATAACAAATTAATTTAAATTTTTTCTATTTAAAAAAATAAAATATATGATTTATAAATACATAATATATATTTCGAAAATATTTTTTTTATCTATTATATAAATATTCAAGCAAAGAAAAGTTAATATATAAAAATAATAATAAATAAGGTTAAATTTACATAAATCAAACTACCAAATTATTTTTTATAACTATTTTATCTTATTCTATCTTAATATTTATTAATAAGCATATTATATTAATCTATTTTTTCTTAATTTTAAATAATAACAATTTAATTAGAATTAATTTATTAATTAATCTTTACTAATTAAATTTCTTCTTTATAAATAACAGAATCAACATCAATTTAATTGTCATTTTAAATATTTTTCATTTATTAAATACTATTTCCTTATTTAAAATTTTCAAAATCAGTATATTATTATTATATTTCATTTTTTAATTTTTATTTAATTTTTTCCAATTCTTCAATTTCCTTTAAAAGGATTTCTTCATTTTCATTATATTATAAACTTTCTATTTATTTATTTATAAATTCTTTTTATTTATTTAGATTATTTAATTCTAAAGACAAGTCTTCTTCATTTTATTTTAATTAATTAATTTACTAATCTAAAATAAAAGTTTATTTTTATTTTTCTTAAAATTAAATATCTAAATTTTCCATTTCATTAAAATGTTTATTTTCGAACTATTAAATCATATTCTCTTACTTTTTTACATTATTTTTAATTATTTCTATATTTTTTTCTAATATCATTAATTATTAATCTATTTTATATATATATTATTAATAATCCTATCCTTTTTTATTAAAATTTATTATTTATTCTTTTTCATATAATTTTTTATCGTCTAGAAAATCATATAAATTTTTCAAATCTATTTTTATTTTATTATTTTAGATTTTTATATTTTAATATTCTTCTTTTATTTCTTCTTAATTTTTTATTGTTCTTATAATTAGTTTATCATATAAAGAATTTAAATGCTTATAAAAATTATCATCATGTTATATTTACATTAGTTCTTTTATAAATTTTATTTTTTCTTCGGCATCATATTCTTGTTTATAATATATTAATTGAAGTTTTTTTTAAATTATTCTAATTCATATTCCTTTTATTTTATTTTTAAGTTATTTTTTATATTTTTTTTTTTTACTTTTTTATCGTCAATATTATTATTATTATTATTCATTAATTTTTTAGTTGTAATATTTTATTTTTTTAATTATTTTTTTACAAAAAAAAAAGAATATTTTTAACTAAAAAAAACTATAAAAAAAAAAATACTGAAAAAAATAAAATAAAAAAAATAAATTATTTTTCTTAATAAAAAAAAATAAGATAATAAAAAAATAAATAAATTATATTAATATTAGTTTGTATTATATATAAATAAATAGATTTCATTTTCAATAAAGAAGGGACAAAAGAACATACTGGGCTTTTCTTAGCTTATATTAGGGTTCGGTTTATCTAGAAATTCGCATAAATAACATAATATATTGCAATATTATTATAATTAATTACTGTTTTATATTTCATTTTGAC